CTAACACATGAGCCTTCCTCAACTTCCCTTTGAGATGGACAAATGCTACCTCACTATCCATACCATCTTCCCTTTTTCAGTTTGGTTTGTTAATGGCAGGGGTACTCTTGAATAGTGTTTGATAAACTTTTGGTAGTAATTGCAGAGCCCCAAGAATGCCCTTAACTTGTGTACATTTGATGGTCATTGCCATTCCTAGATCACTTGGACCTTCTCAGGGTCCACTTTAAGCCCGTCCTTGCCTACCACATGCCCGAGAAACTTTACCTCTTATTAAGCAAAGTCACATTTGCTTTCTTTAGCATACAGCTAGTGTTCCCTTAGTTTCTCAAACACCTTTGTCAAATGTTTAGTATGTTTTTTTAGCATTTTGTTATAGATCAAGATGTCGTCAATGTAAACGACCACGAAATGATCCAAATAGTGTACAAAAATGTGGTTCATCAGTGCCGAGAATATAGCTAGTGCATTGCACAACCTAAAGGGCATCACTAAAAACTCAAAGCTTCCATTCTTTCTTTGACAGGTTGTCTTTTCGACATCTTCCTCCGCTACCATAATCTGGTAATATCTTGACTTTAGGTCGATCTTCGACAAGTATTTTGCCTTACCCAACCTATTGAACAAGTCCTCAATCCTTGGCGGTTGCTTAACAAGTATACAAAGAAAAACAAATACTTTTTAGTAGTCTATGCACATACGTATAGATCCATCTTTCTTTTTCACAAATAACACCAATACACTATACGGTAACTTGCTCAATCTAACATACCCTTTTTCCACCAACTCCTCAAATTGGTGTTTGAGCTCCTCAAGTTTATTTTCGTTCAACTGATAGGGGGGACGAACCACCGCCTTAACACCCTCGACCAAGTCAATCTTATATTCTATCAGTTGTGGGGGGGGTAACTCTGCCAGTAGCTCATCTAGCATGGTATCTTGGAATTGATCTAACACTCGTTGGATCACTAAAGGTATTTCTTTTGTTCCCATCTTTTTATCACTCTTCACCAAAAGTAAGCACAACAATGTTGCTTTGGTTCCTTTAGTGAGTTGTCCTCCTGTGGACACCAGGTTCAAGCAAGAGTCTTTGGCTTTACATTGCCCTACCTTTAGATCCTGGGCCTCCACCCTAGATTATTCTTCTTGGGCATTCACCAGTACCACAAAGTTCCTACCTTGTTCATGTAGGGCTACCATGAATCTATTGAACCAATCCATCCCAAGATTACATCAAATCCCGCCATGTCCAACACGGTGAAATTTATGTTTACTTTCCATGTCCCCACTTCGACTCTTGCTTGTCGAAGTACCTCATTGGTGCTTTGGCTACCTTGAACAAACTCTATAGTCCTTGGTTCACCCAGCTATTACACTATTAGTCTGGCTTGCCGGACTATGTCTGCAACCACAAAATTATCCGAAGCACTTGTGGCAATAAGGATCTTAACAAAGCTACCTCCAACATTCCCTTGGAGGGCTAGTAGATGTCGCAAATGACTCTCTACTAAAGTTGCTCATGTAATAAGTAACTTTGAGCTAGGGACTGAATCATGTACCTCAATTTCGATTTCACTTGACTTAATGGCCATCTTGGCTTTGGCCTTCTTCGGGTAGGGACATTCCTTCGAAAAGTGTTCCGCTTCACCATAGTTGAAACATACGTTATTTCCCATGCTACTACCAGACTTGTTTTATCTGTGAGTTTGTCTCTTTTCTCTTGACTCCCCCACATACTTGCTCACTAGCCACCAGATTTACCTTTCCAAAAACCCTGAGGACTCATTTTTAGAGAAACTCTTCTTGAATTTCCCTTTGTTATATATCCCCTTTGGTTTTAGCCCTTTTGCTAAATGTGGACCCCAACCCTGTTATGTTCCACTTTCACAAATTATTATTGAAATGCATCTTGATAGCTGCATCCAATGCTTCCTTGTAATTGGTTGGGTTCCAACGCATCACCTCGCCTCGAGCCCAGGTTTGCAAGCCTAATATGAAAGCATGGAACGCATCTATATCACCCATGTCCATGACAAGTATCCTTTGCCATAAACCCATTCACATACTCTTGAATGGTTCTGATTTGCTTAAGCCTACTCAACTCATCCCTTAGATGCAGAGTAGCATTCGGAGGAACATAAGTTGCACAGATCCTTGCCTTCATCATTTCCCAAGTGGTTACCGGTCCTTTGTTGGCCTCTGTTGTTCTCCACCAAGATTTGGCATTATCCGCCACGTATGGTTTTTGCACATGGGACCTTCTCCAGGCTTGGTAACCACAACGCTCGGAAATAATCCTCCATATCGTAAAACCAATCCTCCACCACCTTATAGTTATTCACTCCCTTGAAGATCAGTGAGGGCTTTAGTTTGTACTTAGGAACTACTTAAGGGACTGCTTCCACTTTAGTTTGTTTGACCTTGTTCGGTTCCACCTTAGTCCCCATCGAAGGGTTCACGCCTTCTGTGCTACTAGCATCTACAATCTTTTGCTTTTTCTTTTACTTCTCATCCTGCTTTAGCTTGCGTACGAGAGTCTCTAGCAGGGCAATGGTCTATGCCAACTATCCTTCGAGAACGTCTAATCGAGCCTTGAATGAGCCTCACCACTAGACTCCTATTTGGAAGTTTTCGTACTAGAATCCTCCTCATGCAAGGATTCCTCATCTATAGCCTTTTGTTCGACCGGAGGCTCTAGCTATGGAGGAGGTTCTGTCTCCACCTTGGTTCATTTACGCCTTGCCTTTGCCATTTCCCAGCAATCCGCCTTTATTCCTCGCTAGAACTGAGGAAAATGCTTTAATACCAAATTGTAAGCCATAAATTTTTCCTTTCCAACCAACCACCACAACTTTGGCCTTTGCCAAGTTCCCTCGCCAAAGTTCTCACCTATTGTACCAGCTTCTACTTAGCCCTACTTGGTTTCAACAACTCACTGCATGAGCAACGGAGTGTTAGTTATCCATCCATGGATTTCCAAATCTCTCCTAATCCCCCTCCCCATGTTAGACTAGATTTAAGGTTCTGCTACACTCCCCGTAAACATAAGCAACCAAACACACTAAGCCTCTAAGTTCCTAACATCCTTTGGTATAACAAGACTTGATCATGGGACCCTCTAAATCCCAAGCCTTTGGTGCAACACTTGCTTTGGGACACCGAGGGGAAACACCGTGGCCTAACAGCCCGGTATGGGTACCTCTACTCCCCCACTGTCACCCCGAAGGGAAGGCCCAAGCCCCTAAAACGGGCAAGGACTAATGAGCCGCAAGGTACTCAAGTGGGGCACCACTCCATATGAGCCAAGAGCACTATAGTTGGTTTTCCTTCCGGGAGTGGGAGTTTCTCTTGAGCACTTCTTTGGGTGGCCCCTCTGGCACCACCTGAGTCCATGCTCACTCCAACCCAAAGCCCCTCAATCCTAATCTCAACCTCAAGTCAGTTTGGAAGCACCACTGAAGAGTTCCTTCAAGACTAGTTTCTGGACCTCACTATCCCTAGTATACTTTTGGAACCCCCTACAGTCCCCCCCTTTACCTATGGGAGACACACGCTTTGGGCTTTCACCCCTCGACATGTATTAGTATTCAGACTCGATCTCGAATTCGATCTCAGACTTGGTCTTGGACTCGATCTCCGACTCGATCTTAGACCTGACCTCAAACTTGGTCTTGGACTCGATCTCAGACTCAATCTTGGACTCGATCTTAGACTCGACCTCAGACTCAGTCTCAGACCTGATCTCGGATCTTGGGCTCGGTCTCGAACTCAGTCTCAGACTCGGTCTCGGAGTTGGCCTCAGACTCGATCCTAGACTTTGTCTTAAACTTGGACTTGATCTCAGACTCAGTCCCATCTGATGAACTCTTTATCATTTCGATCATGCTTTCGGGGATTCTTTAGCTTACAACACCTTACACATATGAATTAACCCAAAAACCCTAGTTTTTATACAAGAGCAAGTGGTTTAGATTGAAACCAATTTAATGGTTATCAAAATCCCACTATCATAGCTATACACTTGGACCTCGAAGAGCTAAATAAACTAAATTCTCTTTCTCAATAGGAGAAAATAAAGCTTTTTGCTATTAGTGATTAATTAAATTTTACTAAGGAGAAGTTTAAAACTAAATATCTAAAGTAACCTTTAATAATAACTCTCAAAAACTATTTTTAGAGTAAGTAAAGTTTGAAAAAGATGGCAAAAACACTAAATATAAGTTGAGTTATAACTTCATTCCAAAAAAGCCTACAAAAGTCTTTAATGATGTCTCTCAAAGTTGAATTTAAATATCTATGTTAGGCTTAGATCAATGGATGATTGGCAATTGCTAAGAATTATATCAAGCATTGACAGAAGATTTAGAGATAGATAGTTCTTTCAAGTTGTTAATTGTGTTAACCAAGATCTCGTATTCCTGATTAAATGGTTAGAATGGAAAAAAAAAACTAATTTAACCAGTCTAAGATTTCCTAACTTATATAACAAGGGCAACTTATGCATAATGCTTGAGATTTCTAAGGCATGAAAATTTCTGGTTTGAAAACTTTCTAAGGTTGATGATTTTTTGGCATAGTAATTCCTTTAAGTGTAATCTTTTGTGAGAGAGGATTCTTAAAACAAAATAACATTAAAATAAATGTGAGGGTGATGATGATGATTTTTTTTAATCCTAGAAGCAAGGATTAGAAAAATGTTTATAACATATGGTCAGCCATGAAGAAAAGAAGGGCAATTAATATTTTAATATTGACTTGCAATATAGATTTGTTTTTTTCTACCAGTTTTTAAAGCAAAATTTTAAAATGCAAGTCTAGAAATTATAGTCATTCACCTGAAATTTCTGGCTTGCTATACTCAAAGCTAGCTTTTGGTAGAGGTAATTTTTGGATTTTCACAAGAATATCCTGTACTACAAGTCATATTACTCTCCAATTTCTAAAGGAGGGAGGGAATAGCTTATAGTTGACCTAACATGGGCTTTTGAGGTACACTCTAATACCAAATGTAATGCACCTGAGTTTGGAGTTGAATTCTAAACTGGGACACTGAATGCACTCTAGTTGTGCTATGGATATGCATATACTAGTATGGATACTCATCAATGGTCAGATCCACCATCATGCCATGTCCAGGACACGCCACCTGAAGCACAACTCCAGCCTATCAATAAACCACGCCCACCTATGCTTGCTCTTGTCCATTTGGAAGACAATCCTTGAGCCAGCCTCTAGAGTTTTCTAGAACTCGTAGCTCACCATCAAGAACAGCTTCGGCCATTCCTCGGCGGATTTTGTTTACGTGGTCGGGGGCCGACTGCAGCATCTACAAGGCAAAACAAAATGCCACAACCTGCTGGGATAGGAAAACTTCCAGTCGTGATCTTACCAGCAATGCCTGCTCGTGTGACGTGATGCTTTCCTGGATCATCTCCAGCAAGAAATTCATTGCCCGGGTTTCCTTCGCCACGTCCTTTCTTGGCTGGTATGCTAGTGGAGCTTGAAGCGTATCGGATTCTTGGATCATTGATTGTATGTCTACAAAGAGTTATGAGGTTAGAACACCTTGCAAGAAATGCAGAAAGAAAAATAAAACCTTCCAAGGAATCCAAGCAAATAATACGCGAAAATGCACGGGCTTGAGGGAGTACAACCCCGTCTTCCCAGTCCGCTGAGTCCAAAACCTCCCTAGAGAATGAACCGTCAGAGCAAACATACGTGGAAAACTATTGAAACTACTCCAAGATGACTGGCAATTCACCACTCTCCGTTCCATCAGCATTCTGCAAGGTTGGCATATTGAAAGCCCCCATAAGTTCAAGCTTCTTTTCACGAAGTGGATCGTTCCATGGAATTTCCATCCAAAGCTCGGCCTGGAGCATTAGCTTTAAGAAGGGAAAACAACCAAAGCTCTACCTGATCACTCAAATTGTTAGGAAGCACAAAACCGTAGTCTACTGCAAGTACAGCGTTGGAGCGCTTGCCATAACTGATAAAAACCTGCAAAAGCATCTCGTAAGAAGTTATGAAACTCAAAATGCATTTGCTCACTCGCCTCTTCGCCTTTCGTGTAATCGCGCTCGGCAATAATCTGTCAGGCAAGTTGCTAAAGCCTTCGATTTTCATTAGAAGCTCATGCTTACGACTGTCGCATCCTTGCAACTGTCGTGTGACACCGTTGCGTGAGAAACTGGATCGTGGTTGCAGAAGTCCACAAAAGGCCTCATGGAGATTTCGCTGGAAAGAGCACCATTCCAAGCTCGTGAAACGACTGAACGGAAAAACAAAGGCGTTAAACACCCGACTCCTAGCTTTGCAAAAGAAGCAACCTCTACGAAAAAAGCTTACCAGTAGCATACGCATGCGCAAACTGGAAAAGCGAGATATCTTCGCCAAAGACGTGAGGACACGAGCTTATAACCTGCACGAAATCATCCCTACTTAGCTGCGTGAACGTTCTCACAAAAAACACGCAACAGTCGTTACATTCTTCACTGAAATGTACTCGTCCGAGATCATTTCACGCCGCTCGGCTGTTCCACGGAAAGCACGGGTACACTCCAAGAATTTCAATTCCTCCTTCTCCCAGAAAATCTGAAAGTACACGCACAAAAAAAGCTGATGGAAAGATAGCAAGGAAAAATTGACGATCTTACAGTAGAGTGGTGATCCCCAAATGATGGAAGACAAGAAACGTATGGAGCCCATCTAGAAGCCTGATAAGAAAAGAATCGTGAAAAGAAGACGAGTGACCAAGACGATCACAAAGAACTATATGATAGAGAGAAAAGATCGCAGACCTCTCCTTTGTGTTGCTCCGCAAGGATGAGAAGCGTTAGAGGACACCAATCATACTCTGTCGATAGTAACTTCTTCACACAATCGTCTAGTTTCTCGGCCGTGAGCACCTGCATTGGTGCTTTCCATGGTTTCTATCAGCTAAACTAAAACTAGAGCTTATTTTGCTTACCAGGTCATGGGGAATTCGCACAATCTGCTCTCCAGCGCGAATCGACCGAGCAGCAAACAATCCCCTGCCACGAACCACGATTGCCGCAAGATCGCATCGAGGGAATCAATCCAATCCTTGCCTGCCGCATGCCGATTCCCCAATGCGAACGGCCGAGCAATCGCCGCCCTGGCGCACGAACCACGACGTTTGCGCCTGGGAATCTAGAAGCCCTCAGCGCCTGGGCACGATCGATCGAAGAAATCTCACCTCTTCCAGCGAGAGCTTGTGGGCGCCATTCATCGCCGCCCTCATTGGCCTAGCTTGGATTTTGGAGAGCGGAATATCCAGTGATATATCCCCTTAAACCCCAAGGGGTTAAATCCGACGGCCTGGATCTCCCCACGGCAGCGCCCCACAAGCGGAGCCCTATTGACGGCGTCCGCCATAGCCAGGGTTAGGGCTTGTGAGAAAATTTTCCTTATGTCTTCGTGCGACGAGGAGATCCTGCTGCTGGATGCCGCGAAGGATTGGCCAGCGTCGTCCGCTACTGCCACTGGGCCTGGATCTGGCGTCGTGGGAGTGGGCGTCGCGAACAATGGCGACACGGAATTCAGCGACGACGAGCAGCAGCAGCAGCAATTCCACCACCACCACCACCTCATGGGCGTAGGATTCAAGCGCCAGCAGCTGGAGATGTCCGGAGGAGCCGAATTCTCAGGTCTGCCAAACAAGAGTGGAGCGTCGAGCGATGGTAGCGAGAGGGATCAGCCGGAGAACAGCGACGACACCAAGGGTCCCTCGTCCAAGAGGCTCAAGGCTATGCAGCAGCAGCAGCAGCAGCACGGACAGGTCGATTCGTTCAAGAAGGATCGAGAGGAATGGAGCGACACTGCGATTTGCGCGCTACTGGACGCCTACACGGAGAAATTCTTGCAGCTCAACAAGGGGAATTTGCGGGGCAAGCATTGGCAGGAGGTGTCCAACATGGTGAGCATGCGCTGCCAGGGCCAAAAGTCCATGAAAACCATCGAGCAGTGTAAGAACAAGGTGGATTCTCTCAAGAAAAGGCACAAGGTAGAACGTACGAGGATGGAGAACACGGGTTCCACAACCAGCCAGTGGCCATGGTTTTCCAAAGTGGAACAAATAGTAGGCTCCGCTCCAAAACTCAGTGTCTTACTCGAGGACGATACCAGCATGGTGATCAAGCCTGACAAGCAAAAAGGAGCAATGAGACAACGAAGACCAAATTGCAGGTTTCTTCCTCTCTCAGCTTTCCTCCTTTCTTGATTTTGATTATGTGTATGTGTGTTTTGGTAGGACTCCATCTGTTTCTCCATGCGCAAACAGCCTTGGCTTCCACACCAAGACCAAGATCTTGCAACCGAGATGGCAAAGGGTGCTGCTCAAAGTTAGTGGCGACGCTCTCGCGGGGGATAGAGTCCAGAACGTTGATCAAAAGGTACGTCCGGCTGGTCTTTAGTTGATGCTGTCAAGCGCGGGCTTATTAAATTCACCTATTGCAGGAATGCTCTTGTGGTTTTGCAGATAACTTTGCTTGTTGCCAAGGAAGTCGCCTCGGCGATGCGTCTCGGTGTTGAGGTGAGTGATCCTTTTTCTTTCTTTTCTCGCTTTAGACTTTTGTTGTAACATTCTTTTCTACGTCTCCTACAGGTTGCTGTTGTTGTTGGTGGAGGAAACTTTTTCCGAGGAGCTAACTGGGTCGGGACAAGTGGCCTCGATCGAGCGTCTGCGGATCACATCGGGTGCGCTTTATTTGGTTGTTTGGAACTTGAGAAAAGAGCTCTTTGTTTTTTCTCTTGGTGTGACAGTATGATGGCGACGATGATGAATGCCGTTATTCTACAGGCATCATTCGAGAGCGTGGGAATCAAGGCTCGCATCCAGACGTCGTACACCATGACACAGGTCGCCGAGCCGTTTTCTAGCAAAAAGGCCATTCGTCACTTGGAGAAAGGTCGAGTTGTCATTTTTGGTGGAGGAACTGGAAATCCATACTTCACGACCGATACCGCTGCTGCGATTCGTGCTGCCGAGTGTAAGCAAGAGTTCTTTCATACTTTTTTCCAAGTATACTGATCCATGGCTTTCATGCTCACAGTAAAAGCCGAGATCATTCTGAAAGCAGCAAACATCGACGGAGTTTTCGACTGTGACTCGAACTTCCTCGAGCACGTATCGTTCCGGGAACTGGCAATGAAGGGCCTCTCAGCGCTGGATGCCGAGGCCATGAGTCACTGCGAACGACACAACATCCCGGGTGAGTGAAGTGATCACAAAGTTTTTCATACTGATAATCTTTGGCGATGTTTCCAGTGATGTTGTTTAACATTAGCGAGCCAGGAAACGTTGTAAAAGCCTTGACTGGAGAGCGCGTTGGTACCTTGATCGATCAAACAGGGAAGTTTGTATGATCTTCTCCATTTCGTGTCATATAATTGTTCTTTCTTAGCGAAGAGATTGACCACACTCGAAGCAAAAGCACTGTACAGTTTGATCTATCCTGTATACAATAACTACAGTGGAGATTGAAACTTTCAAACGCTGCAAGCATATGCTTTGAATCGGGTTTTTCTAGGGTTTTGGGGAGGTTGTCGGGCGCTCTGTCGGCAGGAGCGCCTCACGATTCACTAATGGTGCGATTGAAGAGGCACGGCAAGAGATTTGGGATCAAGAACAAGGTCTTGTCGTGGCGATCCAGAGTGTAAGTCGAGGAATTCCTGGCATTTGTGTGGTGTTTGAGTCGTTTTTTCCGAGCAGCGACGGTCTACTGCAATGTGCTGGTCCAGGCATTTGCGAACGAGTAAAAGATTTGACTCGAGGTAGTGGAACTCGATCGATTCATCGGGAATAGATTCTGGAGAAAGGAGAGCTCCAAAGTTGCTGGGAAAGAGAGAGAGGTCCAGAGGTTCGATATGACGCTTAACCCAGAGACCGAGCGCGATAAGTATGATCCAGCGTTTCATGCGTGAACTTTGCTGTTGATCCAAACAGATCCTCGAAGAAGCAGGTATTGGCGATGAATGTTCTTCACTTTCCTGGTTCTTACTTTGATGGTTTTGACAGGCTCTAGAGCTTATTAGGGAGCTACAATCGCATTTCCCAACGAGAGCGCTAATGCTCTCCGTGTCAACCAAACATTGGCAGAAACTGCTGGAGGGACTGGCTGATTTGGCGGACGGACTTGTGGTGAGCGAGCTTTTATCTTTCTTGGTTTCTCGGACAGAAACTCTTGGATCTTTTTCTTCCCAGGTTTGTCGAGTCGAGCTGGCCATTTTCGTGTGTGCGACGCGCTCATCTGAGAGGGCTGCGGGAAGCTGGACATGGTTTCCACCCGTGCACAAAGACCACGATTAAGAAGACGAAGCAGCAGCAAATCAAGCTGAGAGGATCCAAGTCTCTTACGTCGAGTCTCAAAAGACTCACAGCTATCACTGCTGCTCGGGCTACCTCCGATCCAGGCAAGAGATGCCTGACTTGAGATGCAATCCCAAAGAGTTCCACGAGCACTACAAGAGCGATTGACCTGGATTCGCTCCCATTTTCACAGCTTCTTACGTAACCTTCTCAAACGTTCCTTGCTTCACAATCACCTCCAGTCAGCACAATAGTTTGGATTCGTCAGTCCCCCTGTCGATAGGGAGTGATAGGATCTTCGACGGTATAAGATCAAAGTATATTCTTGATTTTAAGATTGAACGGGGCTTAATTTAAGAAACAAGAGCACCAACTCGCGAATAATACTGACTTTCAAACTCAAGGTTTTCATCCTCGTCAACGATCGCTAGGGCCTCCAACTTCTCTATCAGTTGTTGTCTCCTCAGAGAAGAGTAGCCAGTAAGGCCGTTTTCAAGCGCCATCATCCTGAGCTGCTGCATCGTCATGGCTTGGAAGTCTATGGGCTCAAACGCCAACTCGTCAAGCTTTTCTACGCTATCTTCTGGCTCGGGAATATCTGCACATAACTGCGACTGCTCATCACCAAGAGTCTGTATGAGAACCTTAGCTTGCATAATTCCTGCACATTCCAGCCGGTTAACCATAAACAAGGCAAAAACCACAGGGAAACCAATGCTTAAGTACCTCTCACTCCCTTGTTTGATACGCGGTGCTGCTTGTTCCGATAGCTCTGGTAGCCGAAGTCTGGATAATTGTCCCTCGAAAGAAAGAACAAAAGTAGGAACCTCTCAGGGTAATCTTCCTTGTTGTACTCCTTGTTCCAGGCCTCCAAGGCAGCCAGTCCGCCTTTAATCGCTTCAAACGGAACCGGATGATACTTAGCTGTGGTAGCCTGCCCCAAAGTTCCAGGGAGAATGGCAAAGTCGTAGCTGCCATTTTTCTTCCTCAGTGGCCTCCATACGTAATTAACAGCATCGGCACCTGCAGTACAGAAGTGTTAAGCTAAAATCTTGTCTATTATCGGATATACTTACCAGCATTGGAAAGCGCCTCTTTCAGATCACCCCTAAAATATCTCAGTCGAAGCCTGCGTGTCGTTGTTAAGACCTCGTCACCTGGTTTTCCCTCGCAAGAAGCGCATCGCCACTTCAGCGGCACTGGAGCTGTCTCGAGGACGCACAGATAATGATACCATTTTTTGCATACGCCACACGCGATCCAGTTGACAGGGCCTTCCCCGCAGTCCATCCGCGAATTGCATTTAGTGCAATGCTTATCGTCGACCTGTAACACGGGGGTCAGAGACAAACGGGAAAGAAAGCACAACTCACCATAAGAACAGCGCTGATGGGCGACTGAAGAACCTTTGCCACAACATCCTGTTCAAACAGGAAACCGCCAAGAGCACCAAGTCCGGGATCTCTGGAGTCCAGCAACACGATCAGGTCATGACGGTTTGCAGTTGGGATGCTTGAAGTGAACTTGTACTTGATCTTCGACGATGCAAAATCGATGAGGTACTTGTAACCAGCGGCTTGGGGTCTTTTGAGGTGTAGCAGCATCCATGAGATATCATCAGATTCTGCTCCAGCAGCTATTGCTCGATACACCTTTCCTACATCCGTCTTAAAGAGCGCCGTATCCACGAACCTTTCCAGTTCAATATCGGTCAGCAGCCTCGGCTCAAGCTGCCAAAGCTTACGAGGGACTCCACCAAACCACTTGTAGTAAGTGTCTGCTACCCCGACGCGAATGCGGATCAACCCTGCCTCGTCTCTCAAGTTTCCTGCGATCACCTTATCGTTTGCATCGTCTCCTTCTCTCTCTTGAACCTCGTAAGTGTTCTTGAGCTCATCTTCCATCATGGTGTCCGTCTCCTCCAAAGAGCAGCCCTGGAGCTCACAAGACTGCTGCATCTCGAGCTGGCTAGCTCGCTTCTCCAACTGGCTAGCTTCCTCCTCCCAGAGCTTAACCAAGGCGTCGAACTCGCAAGGATACAAGTAGACTCTAGCGAGCTGTCTGTCTGGATAAGCATTCTTCACGTTGGCGGGATCTGGAGATGCCGCAACCAGCACCCTTTTGCCCAGAGCGTCGCTCGGCTCAATCTTCTGATTGATCAAGTGCCACTTTGCGGGACGGAGAGATGTCGCCTGGAACTGGGATTTGGGAGTCAGCTCAACTCCCCCGTTTGAGTCGAAACTCCAAACGTAATTGCCCGACTGATAGACGAGCACAAACGGTCTCTTCCCCATGTCGATGGCGTATCGGATGATGAAGTACCAGAGAAAGGCAGACTTGCCAATCCCCGGATTCCCAGTGAGGTGAACCAGCCAGCTCCCGGGCTTTCCAACAAGGACTGATCTGTAGAGGGAATCGAAATCTCTCCTCACCAGGAGCCTCTTGATTCTCTCGTCTGGGCCTCTCACCTCTTTTATCTCCACAGGCACCGACAGATCCAACACTTTGCCCGCTTCGTATGCGTCCGTGCCCAGCTCTCGCACACCGGCCCACCATGCTTCCAGCGTTCTCTGCCATTCATCCATAAACCCCAATCTTGGCCAACTTCTTGGAACCTTTAATTCTAGAGAATATTCGCAACTAGGGTATTTTTAGGGTTTTTGGGCGATGTCGCGGACTCTGGTGCAGCCGGTGGGGCAGAAGCGCCTCACGAATGTGGCGGTGGTGCGATTGAAGAAGCACGGCAGGAGATTTGAGATCGCGTGCTACAAGAACAAGGTCCTGTCGTGGCGATCCAGAGTGTAAGTCGAGGAGTTCCTGGCATTTGTGTGGTGTTTTGAGCCGCGGGTTTTTGTTGTCCGGGCAGCGAGAAGGATATTGACGAGGTTCTCCAGACGCACACGGTCTACTGCAATGTTTCCAAGGGGATTCTGGCCAAATCCAAGGAGCTGGTCGAGGCATTTGGGACGGCGGACGAGGAGAAGATTTGCCTCGAGGTAATGGAATTCGATCGATTCATCGGAATTGGTTCAAAGTTTCTTCTTGAGCTAGATTCTGGAGAAAGGAGAGCTCCAAGTCGCTGGGAAAGAGAGAGAGGTCCAGCTCTCCAGCCAGTTTCGAGATATCGCGGGGATTGTCATGGACAAGACGCTAAACCCAGAGACCGAGCGGCCATTCACGATAAGTATGATCGAGCGTTTCATGCGTGAAGTTCACTTTGCTGTTGATCCAAACAGATCCTCCAAGAAGCAGGTATTGGCGATGGATGTTCTTCAGCTTACTTTCGTGGTTTTGACAGGCTTTGGAGCTTATCAGGGAGCTACAATCGCATTTCCCGATCACAAGAGCGTTGATGCGCCTCAAGCTCTCCGTGTCAACCAAGCATCGGGAGAAACTTCTGGAGGGACTGGCTGATTTTCAAGCGAAGATGGAGAGCCGGGATGAGGCGGACGAAGCTTTCATTGTGGTGAGCGAGCTTTTATCTTTCTTGGTTTCTCGGACAGAGACCCTTGAATCTTCTTCTTCCCAGGTTTGTCGAGTCGAGCCTGGCCATTTTCGTGCGTGCGACGCGCTCATCCGAGAGTGCTGCGGGAAGCTGGACGTGGTTTCCATGGCTGTGCACAAAGACGACGATGAAGAAGACGAAGCCGACGAACCAGCAACAAATCAAGCCGAGAGGATCCAAGCTCTTACGTCGAGTCTCAAGGATTCGCAGCTGTCAGAAGGGACTGGATCAAACAACTCGCGTCCTCCTCCTGCTGCTACCTCCGATCCGGGCAAGAGATGCTTGACTTGCGATGCCGTGATTGGCGATCCCAAGGAGTTCCGCGAGCACTACAAGAGCGATTGGCACAAGCACAACCTCAAGAGGAAGCTCAAGCAGCTATCGCCACTGAGCGCCGAGGAGTGTAGCTTGGATTCGTCAGTGGTGGACTATGTCAACGATAAGGACGATTACTCGCGCTAGAAGAAAATGTAGTTGCTCAAGTGGTGTTAATAAAAGAGAAAATTTCCAAAGCATACGTCAGGTGTTCGAATCTTCTCAGTTCTAGTTTCCGATTGGTCTAGAAAGAAAAGAGTTTTTACACGGCAGCAGCAACGTGGGCATTGCTGGCCGATCCTATCCGTCCATCTGGATCCTCGTCATAATTGCGGAATGTTCGTGTTTTTCTGCCATTTCCCTCTCTTGAGATCGACGAAGAGTAGGCGATGGCGATGGCGTTGGCGTTGGCGGCAGCCATAGCTCGCGCGGCGGGGAGATTTTCGATTCAGTCGCGGGCGCTGGCAACGGCGGCGTTGGAGGTAGAGATCATGTAGGTTTGTTTGGTTTGATCCTCTGCTTCTTTCTCGTCACAGCAGAGCTACGATGCTGCTCTGGACGAAACAGCTGCGCAGGTCTTGATCGATCATCGTTTCTGAGCCGGAATTTCTCACACCGTTGCTTGCTTGCATGCTTGCTCCAGTTTAAGAAGAGCGTCCAGCACTTCGCTGCGGAGCATATCGCTCCACACGCTGCTACCATCGATGCCACGAATTCGTTTCCAAAGGTTTGTTTTGAGCAGCATTTTCCCGTTCCATTCTTTTCTTTCCTTGGGTGTTTCGATTTGAGATTTTCTTTTGCGTGGACAGGATCGGAATCTCTGGAAGCTGATGGGAGACTTCAACTTGCACGGAATCACTGCTCCTGGTGAGTATAGATAGCACTTTATAGTTTTCTTCTTCTTCCTTGTCAATTCCAAAGTTTAATGTCAGAGAAGTATGGGGGGCTTGGTTTGGGCTACTTATACCACTGCTTGGCTATGGAGGAGATTAGTCGTGCTTCCGGATCGGTTGGGCTTTCATACGGTGCTCACTCCAACCTTTGCATCAACCAGCTGGTATTTAGTATGTTTCGCTCGGGACGTTTCTTTGTTCTTAAAGCTGTCTATCGACGTGTTTCTCACAGGTCAGGAATGGCACTGAGGCTCAGAAGGAGAAGTACTTATCTCAGGTGCATATCTATCATCGTGTTTGGAAGTGGTTTTCTTACGCGATTGTTGGTGTCATAGTTGATAAGCGGGGAACACGTTGGAGCACTGGTGATGAGCGAACCGAATTGTATGTATCTTTTATTTATTTATTTGTTTTTATAATGTTTTGGCTGGATTATAAGGAGGCATGGTATTGACCTTTATTTGCAGCTGGTTCTGATGTGGTGAGCATGAAATGCAAAGCCGAGCGTCGGGACAAGGGATATGTTCTAAATGGAAACAAAATGTGGTGCACAAATGGACCTGTTGCTAACACTTTGGTGCGTCTTTTCTTCCTTTAGGCCTTCGTTTTACTAATGTGTGATTTACCAGATTGTATATGCTAAGACTGACAATAGTGCGGGAGCTCACGGAATAACGGCATTCATTATTGAAAAGGGAATGGAAGGGTGAGGTTTCGTGCTGTATGTTGCTGCCAGTCTAACAATTAACTCCTTCCAGATTCACGACCGCTCAAAAGCTAGACAAACTTGGAATGCGTGGAAGTGATACGTAGGTTGTCAATCTTTTACATTGTAAGAACACATGTCCTAACATTTTTATTTAGATGCGAGTTGGTGTTTCAGGACTGCTTTGTGCCTCCGGAGAACATTCTTGGTCAGGAAGGAAAAGGTGAGTCTGCTGGGTTTCAAGATTGAACTTGTTACCAGCAGCGTATCAACAGGTGTTTATGTGATGATGTCTGGGCTGGATTTGGAGAGGCTTGTATTGGCATCTGGTCCTTTGGGTCTCATGCAAGCTTGCATGGACGTGGTTCTTCCCTATGTGCGACAAAGGGAACAATTTGGAAAGCCTATAGGAGAGTTTCAACTTATACAGGTGACTCTGTCATTTGTCTATCTCAATCAGATAGAGCTTTGATATTTACAGGGAAAGCTAGCTGATATGTACACTAAGATGCAAGCATCCAGGTAGAATGTTGATTTGCCGGCATTTGTTTTCTGAATTGCCTACGATTTGGTCTCAACAGGGCTCTAGTTCATTCTGTTGCTCGAAGCTGTGATGCTGGTCACATAGATAGAAAGGTGAGATTCAACTTACAAAATGCTGTGAATTTCTAGACTAAAGCGCTTTGTCCACAGGATTGTGCTGCAGCTATTCTTTTTTCATCAGAGAATGCAACTCAAATGGCTTTGCAGGCAAGCTCTTTCATGATTCTACTTTGTTCCTAACTCTCAGATCATGTCCAGGCTATCCAGTGCCTAGGTGGGAATGGCTATGTAAACGAGTATCCCACTGGAAGGCTGTTGAGAGATGCAAAACTATATGAGATTGGAGCTGGAACAAGTGAAATAAGGAGAATGTTAATTGGAAGGCAGCTCTACAAAGATGAATAAATCAAAATCAAATACCTTTTACCTTTATTTTTTCGGTTTTACTTGAGTTCATATATAATGTATATAAACCCATCATCTCCTACAGAAGCTGCTGTTGTGATCCTACAATTATAAATATTACATTGAGTATTTAACTATTTCAGCAGTTTTAATTACCAAATTTCAGATTGAAGTCCCACTGTTCCATGTTCTCCATAAAATAGAGTTTCCTATATAAGTAGAAATTAGATTACATCCAGTAATAGTTAATCTATATTGATTGCATGGAGAGACTAGAGAGTTAGATTGAGTAAGCACAGTAAATATATCATTAAGCATTATGAATTTTTTTTTAGTATTAAGGTGCAGATACCTTTTAGCATTCAATAATTTTTATTTTACACCAATATAATCTATAGTAGCAGTCAAATATCCATCCACTTAAAACAACATTACATATGCCACCAGATTTCTTGCTATATATCCAAATGCTAAGCTTAACTATTCTACTGTTTTTATAATTTGTCTAACTAAAACAAGTATTTGTATATGCTTACTTTTTTATCATGTAACATTTTATTGAAAATATATATAACAAGTAATTTGTGATGGCAGTTTTGGGGGGGAATACACTTCCCTATAAGTTTGCACAAGTTTTTGTTAAGTTGCCCACACCTCCCTTCATGTGTATGACTTACAAAATAATATTTAGACACAATTTTTTTAAGCATATATATATATATATATATATGCTTAATTGGTTGTCTTGATTAATTGGTGTACATTAGGTAGGATCACCACTTAAAAGAGTTTATTCTTGGTAGAAACATCCCTTCATCAATCAATTGAGCTCTTAGACACTCCATGACACTATTGCATCATTACTCATTGCATGCTCAAAATCTATCCTCAATGAGATAGATGAAAAAAAAATCAAAAAATCAAAAGAATTAAAAGATCTTTATCAATCTTCTCTCTAATGAGTAATGGCATCATACCAATAGGAGTTCAAGTGATGGCAACTTAATTTGATTAAGAAACATTCTTTCTCTCTAATTGAAGCTAAAATTGATAAGAATCTCACTCATAAATCATGTGACTCCATTGTGGAGGGATTCTTTATTAATCATGTTATTATGGATAGCATCTTTATTAGAATCATGCAAGAGGAGGTCATGAAACTCCAATAAATTCTCTCATAAATTGTTCTTTTTTGTTGCTTACAAGAATGATTTGTGTGTGGGAGTTTAAATATAAAAGAAAAGAGCTTATGAATAAAAGTGCATTTCCTTTTTCAATCAATTAAGGGTTTTAGGATATTTAAGGTTAAACATCCTTAGTATTGGGCTCTAAAAAGTCCAAATTTAGGAGGTATAAGCTTACAAATCTTTGATATAATCAATAAATACATTTTTATACAAATTTACAAATAAAATGTTGAGTAAGAAAACAAACAAAAAAATGCAATCTACCTTGCTCTAGATGGTGCATGCATGAACATCCACAAACATATACTGAAAGTTTTGCATCTTGCACTTTCCACTTGTAACTTGCAATAAATGATTTTTATTCTAGACTTTTTGCATCTCAACAAACCTTGACAAGACTATTTAGTGCATTTTTAAGAGAAAGAAAATGGAACATTACAACTACCTTCTTACTCACCCAATCCATCTGAAAAGCAAAGAGAATCAATGCTCTGCAAACACAGAAAGTAATAAGGGTGGTAAAACCTACAATAGACTCAAGCTTTGGGCTCTTTTGAATCTTATAATCCAACACTCTTGATAAACATGTGTGAAGTAGAATTGAGAAAGTCTTCACTAGATGTCTCATGCTCCTTCATGGAGAAATGCTTGAACTTTGGCATTCTTGAGTCTCACAAGAGCTGGCAAGCCACACAGTTTGATCAATTGGGGCCTCCAGACAAAGCTTTCTTTTCTGTTGCTACATATTTGCAAGTGCAGTAAGCAATTGAGATCAAAAACCAACAATACTACCTATATGAGACTCATTATCCTCAAAGTCTAGAGCAGTGGATGGAAGTTTGGATGCTAAACATGTCAAGGGTATATACTGGTGGTATCGTGCCAACGCTCTTTGGCGACCACTTGTTCTCCTCCCTGAAATAAATTGTGCAATTTGACAACCCCCAGATTGAGAGGCTTGAGATTGATCTCAAAGTTCTCATAACTTATCAAGTGGTTGACCTCTAATATGCTCCACTGGCACATTTACTCAAACTATAGTTCAAGCTCTCATGGTAAACTCTATGAAAACCACTACCACCTTCGGCATTTTGATGATTGAGCTGTAATCTGAGCTCTCCTCCTGGTAACAATTATGTTGGTGGTGGTGATCATGCTGGTAATTATCATCCTTTCAGTAGTGTCTAGCCAACAAAGATCTTACTCAGTTGCCATTTGAGGAAGGATCTTCTAATGGTTCCTGCTGCAGCACTAAATACGATACAGGCCTTTGGTGCTTCTTAAGCTGTACTAAAATCTCCCTATGATACAAATACTCATTCAAGTGATTTGTAACCTCCCAGAACCTGCTACACTTCTGGCCACCATCAAGCTCCTCTTCAACCCCTCTTGGTACAATGCCATTGCCCTACTGCCTAATCATGTGCTTAAAATCCACTCTCAAGTCTTTTTTGTGATATCACTTTGTTTAGGATGACATGGTAGTCTTGCAGATCATGCCCCATGCATACATAGCATGTCCCATGTAAAACATATTATGCACATAATTACGTTTTTATTGCTTTTATAGCAATCAAAACATGATTTTGTGCACAATATTTTTGCATACAACTCAAAAAAAAAAAAAAAAAAAACTGCACATATGTAAATATATAATGCTCCCATGCACAATCACATTATTTGCTGCCATAAGTACATAATATTGTATCGATATCTGTTGGCTCTATATAATTGTAAAGTGTTAGAGCTTTCTAAAAAATTCCATTATTGAAATTTTTTATTAAATTAAAAACAGAAATCAAAGTAATTAGACTCTTTAATAAATAGATATAACTATTCTCAAAGAGCTTTGATGTTTATAGGGAAAACTAATTGATATGTACACCAAGATGCAAATACCAACAAAAAATTTAAATTGCCAGTGTTTATTTTGTTTGTAAATGCTTTATGATTTGGTTTTAACATGGCTTTTGTTCCCTCTTTTGCTTAAGCTTGTCACATGGATAAAAAGTATTCAGCATAGAAAATTGAATTCATTTTTGTAGAGTTGCTTTGTATTTAACATTCGCCTTATTCAGTTACTCTAGAAAACCATAGAATCAATTTCCATTATCTTTTTTCAAAGATGAAAAGATGCCTTTACCTTTATTGTTTACTCAGGCATGTTTTAAATCATATGCAATTTCATGTTATGGAAAACGATGTATTATCCTTCTTGTGTTCATATAGAGAATATATATAAATCCATCATCTTCTACAGAAACTACTGTTGATATTCTACAATTATAAGTATTACATTGAGTATTTGTACTCCATATTTTAACTCCATTAGAATTTTTAATTACTAAATCACCATTAGCTTGTAGATGCAACCAACAATCATCCCCATTATTCCATGTTCTCCATTTCACATTGTTTCCCTGATAAGTAAAAATCAAATTACATCCAGCTATAGCTAATTTATATTGACTGTTTGGGGAGACTAAACAGTTAGAATTAATCAGATAAGCACCCAACTCTAACGCATCACCACTTATAAGGCTTGACCTGTATATCCAGCAATTAGATATATCACTAAACATTGTGATATTTCTTATAGATTCACTAATATTAAGGTCTTGGTAGAACAAAGGGGCATTTACAATTTTATACTTTACACCAACATAACCCATTGTAGCAGCAATATGTCCATAATAATAGCCTTCTGCCTGGTGTATAACCTCTATTACAAGTGCTGCTAAGTTACCAACTATCTCTCTTCCTAGTGCTCCAGTGTTGGCTAAACAAATGTTGCAAATACCACCAGGTTTTCTACAATATATCCAAAGACTGAGCTCAACTAATTTACCAAATGAAAGCTCTTGAGTAATTGTCCAAGTATAAGCACCATAGTAATTGCGTGTGATATCTATTTTATCATCTAGCATTTTATTAAAATAATAAGCAATTTTGTGAATATCTTCTAGATGTATATAATTTATAAGTGTTAGAGCGTCCCAATTTATATCACAATTTACATAATTAGAGAACATTATTAAAGAAAGGAAAAAAACCCAAATACTCATTTTGATTAAAGAAACAGAGGTGTCGCTTTATATGAACCACTTTTGAATTCTTCCAAACATAATAAAGTTACATAATAGTTAAAGTTATGCTGAAAGCAATTAAGGGTTTTGGAAACTTCAAGGTTAGGGTTTTTGCTACCTCCGCCATGGCGGATCCGGTGGTGATCCAGAAGCGCATTCGCATCTTCAGCGAGTTACAGGCGTCGGAGCGCGCGCGCAACGAGGAGCTCGGAGGCCAGCCGATCGAGTAGGCCGGATTTATCTCTTGCTTGTAGCCAACATTTTTCTCGTCCAGTGTGACTGTGCTCAAGGATGGGGAAGTGGTGTACCCCGGAAGAAGGCTTCTCACGACGCCGCTGGACATTGCCAGGCTAATCTCGAAGAAGAAGGCTGCTGATTATGTTATTGCGCAGGTACTGTTACCTCTTCTCTCACTTCTTTGTGAGCGAGCGTTTCCAATTAGGTGAATGGGACTCTGTGGGATATGGGACGCCCTTTGGAAGAGGATTGCACGCTTGTTCTTTACGCGTTTAAGGACGAGCAGGGTCGTGATACTTTCTGGCACTCGAGTGCTCATATCCTTGGCGAGGTACTACATTTTCTTTTTTTCTTCATTCGAGGGGAAGAATTTAACGTGCTGTAAGTTTCCAGTCCTTAGAACAAGCGTATGGTTGCAAGCTCTGCATTGGTCCCTGCACGACAAGGGGAGAGGTACTGTTTTAGTGAGTTTGATCGGTATAGTTGCAACATTTTCTTATGTAGGGCTTTTACTATG